ATGTAAATAATTTGAAGTATTTTTTAAATCAGTATCACATTGATTAGTGATTGCATTCTTATCAATATCAGCAATAGAAGAGTTGAATTGATGTATTACCAATGTGTTGTCATTAGTTTCTCTTGAATCAGAATTGATAATCCTATGTTCAACGGATGATACAGACTTAGAAGATAGATCTTTCCTCTTTGAATGATCAATTGCTATTTTTGACGGTGGATTTGATATGGTTGGTGATGATAATGCAGTAGAAGCGAATGATGTTGTCAGTGTGACATTTTGGTTGTTTAATTGTTGTTCCAACATAATCGACGCATTTTTACTAATAAAATTAGGATCTGATTTTGCTTTTTCTTGATCTTGTATAGTGATTGTATGATTTTTATTTTCTCCAATCAGTTGCTGTTAAGCGAGCAAGAAAAAAAATGAAATTCATACAAAATACATTATTAGCCTGATATGTATTAGAATAATTAAATAATTAATTATTAGTACAAAAAGCCATATAAATATTTATAAATCATACAAATCATTGGATTTATCCGCTCAAACCACAGTAGGTGGTTTCCTTTGGAGGCCACTCCTCCAACCTTTGATCCACAGGTCTAATCCACAAGGCAGTGAAGCAACGTTGGGAGATGTGGTTCCATGGTGGTTTGTGATCAACAAAATGTGCATGCGCCATTCGTTCTTTCAGGATTCTGGACCTGATGTGCATCATTAGTTTGATATCAGGGTTTCCAAACCCCATTGGGTTCATCCTGTATACCCGCCAATCCAGTTTAAGCTCCGTAAGCATTCGCTTTTCGTCCTATCGATTTCGTACAGGACATCCGCGTCATGAGGAGGTAGGTAAGGCTTCCCCTTCAATGACTATATATGTGTGGCCATTTATGAGGTCATTCCGAGGAGGGCGGAACCTTAACACTCATCACTGTACCAGGTTAATGTAAGAATATTACTTCAATTTTTATCATCATTCAGTAATATTCTTCGAAACCAGTTTACTTCATTACGAATGTAATATGTTTGAAGTAAACCACATAAAAACATTATTACTTCAGTTGAACTACCGTTATTTGTATTTTGGTTAGTAGCTAATATTGAAATGCTGGACATCATCCTCATTTTAGCGGTGATGTTTATTCTGAAGTGCTAATCTAATAGCTATTGCTTTTAATACCGATTCGCCAGCAAAGACAGATGAAATTCAACGCTGCAGTGATAACTATTAACATACATAGTTGTAGAGCATAAACGATAACTGTTTAACAAAATATAAATAACTAACTTCTTGTGTTTCACAATCAAATGGTATTTCATCTTTTGACTGTTTTGTAATTTCACATGATAACATTGATTGACTAGATGATAATTTATCATTACTATGTGGTTTATTATCTTCATCGGTAATAGTAGCATTCTCGGTGGTTGTTTCAAAATAGTTATTCGAAGTAAATAACTCCTTTCGAAAAATATCATCTAAAAATGGTGCATACGATTTTAATGTTCCATAGTTTGTATGATAGTAAATAATTAAAGCTTTAGCGGCGTAAATTGATGGGTAGTATAAAAAATCAGGTTTCAAATAAACCCGATTTAAATTGACACCACGAGTATCTGTTCTATAGTGACCGTGAAAAACACCATCTGGATTTAACATTGGTATTAATTTAAAAATATAATGTTTACGTAATTCACATGCCCGTTGATCATTTACACGTAATAAAAACTCCAATAATCCATTAAATACATGACTTGATGGTGTTTCACCAGGATGGACACGAGCACTGACAACAACAACCTATAAGAAATAGTAAATCCAAGGTAAATGGCTATAAACCGGATTGGTAAATTGAATCTAATTGTTAAATGATAAAAAGTTTTGTGCTTGTTATAAAATACTGAAGAAATATCACTGAATAGAAGTCCATCTGTATGTGAACAGTGTAATATCCGCAGTCCTGCTGCTCATACTTGGAAATGAGAACTGTCGCAATTCCCACAATGCGAAGTTAGAACACAAAGAATGCAGTAAATGAAAGTTTATGGATTCTATAAAACGACGTTGAAATATATTCACAAATAAGTCCTCCTAAATAAAACCAGGTACATTTGTTTGTTCACCGATTGCTCACATACTTGATAATGAGTTAAGAACACTACATAGATGAAAGAGTTCATCAGGTAAATACAAAACATACACAAAGTTCACACCGAAAAATCTAAACAATAAAATTATCACACTGAGAAAAAGTTCATATTTGTCAGACTGAACGAAATTTGTTCTTAAACGATACAAAAAGGTCAACTTGAAGTAATATTACACTGGGAAACATAAAATCCAAATCATGCTAAAATGTTACACTGAAAATGAAATGACGTTATCCTAAATAAAAAAGCATGTCAAAATATTACAATTATACAAATTAATTTTCTGAAGTGCACTCTTCAACCCAGAGAAGACTATAATGATTTTAGTTTACAACCCTAGTCTTATTATTAACAGGAAGTTTATAGTACCTTTGTTCTTTTAATTTACTATACGATTCTACCTATATTTTCACCCCGTTCATATTTACTACTTGTACATTTTGACCTTGATTCCTCATGAATCGTACACTTTGGTATTAATTACTTTTCCACTGTTATTATTTTATTCCCAGGAGTATTGACTTTCGTGGGAACACAGTTAGAAATCAATTAGCATTTGAAAACCGATTTGCTTCAGTATAGGACATTTAGTTATTGAAAACTCATGAGCTCACTACTACTTGAACCCAGGAGTTTCAGAGCTGGCAGTTGGCGCTTTACCACTGGATATTAACTCAATGGTCTGATGAGTAAATGTAAAGTACATACTAGTTGAATGGGATTTGCTAGACCAGCATTTCATAGAAAGACAATATCGCCTGTGAACCCTGGGTTGATAATTTTCTCTGATAACGGATTCCCACTACTATAGTACACATATCTCACAGTTAAAGAAAGGAATGGCGACAGTATATAACCTTTCCTTATCTCATTCTGCATCGAAACAATGGATATAGGTGTTTACACGCTTTCACTCTATATAAATTGTTACACACAGGCTCCAAATGCTTGTATGCTTCTCAGCTAGCTACATTTCCTTTCAAGAATTAACATGACTTTATTTCACAATGATGTTGTATCGGAAATACCTTCATCTGCTATAACCGTTTCATATACTGATATCTTTTATTGCCTGATAACATTTATTAACTAACCTTTTTATTTGTAAATTTCCAAGGTCTTGGTTTATTTACATCAGGAAATAATAATGGATCAAAGCGATCCTCTTCAACAAAAGTACATTCTGACCAATCAGTTATTGTCAATAATTCAATTCTTCTTCCTTCCAAACTATAACAAAGTAGTTCTCTATGAAAATAAATCTTGTCGAATAAATCATTTTCTGATAAACGTTTTGAATCATATAATGTGGAAGAAAGTGATGATGAGGAGGAGGACGAAGAAAGTGAGGCAGATGGATTAGATGAAGTTAGAGTACTGGAAATTGAACTGTTCATAATTGTTGAATTATTTATGTTCAATGCTACATTTGCTACATTTTCACAAGTACTTTCAGATTTATCATTATTTTTTATTTTATTCAACTTCATTATATTATATTTATTGCTGAAACTCTCATCATCAATTTTGATGTTTTCATTTTTATTATAATGAAATATACTATCTAATTTGTTTAATTGTACTTGCATTTCACTATACGTCCATGGATAACAAAATGCAAAATAGGTAATACTTCCACGTGGATCTTGAAATCGATGTATAAACGTTAGAAGAAATTGCCCATTGACTATTTCCCAAAATGGTTTGTCACGTATACGTTGCCATCTAAATAATTCATTAAAAAAAAAACACGTGACTATTTAATGAACAGGAAAACTTATTTCATGGCAATAAATTACAGTAGTTTATGTCTTACAATGGTTAATCGCTGAGTAGTAAATCAATACTACTTCTGTCTAGTAGGTATTAAGGAGTACAGTCCATAAATGCCTATTGATGTCTATACGTAAGATAACTCAATAAACAACAAGACAGCTCTCTGCTACTCACTGAGTCCCACTAGTACTCCAGTTCACTCAGCTTTACTCGAATCCACATAGCTAAATAACAAATATTTCTTTACGCTGTCTAAATAATAAAACTAATTACGTTTTTCAGTTAACAGAGCAAATAATATATAAATTACATAAAGACTTATTTTAGAAGTATTTATTACTATGATTTAGAAATATGTTCAATCTTCATTCAGTTCATTACAACGCATTAACTATCGGCATTATGAAAACAAATCAATGAAGGGACAATAGTAAGCTACGTACATATACCAAAATAAAAAGGCATTAAGTAGCAGAATTGACGTTTACAACAATAGAAAGAAAATACAGTAAATTTTTTTCAGATCTTCGTGTTGCGTTCCTTCAATGAACGACTTATTTCGTAACAATTCGTGTTCGATTGCTCGTTTTTCTTCCCTTATGGTACACTGTTCACATTTGTCAAGTTTTGTTCTCGCTATTTTAAAACGTATCTAAACTAACCTTGGTTTGAATAATGAGGTTTTTGAAAACGCAACAACTGAAGCTGTGTGAAAAATGCTTAAGTTATCTTCCTTCAAGAACATTGAAAGTGCAATTTTCTATCTAAACGACTCATGTGTAGTTTGTTAGGTAAGCAATAAGTGAACTAAATACATGTAGTTCTACTGGAGAAAAAACTAGCTTTTAGCTGTGGAAGAGATTAAGAAAAAAAGCTAGAGGGAAGGACACACATTCCGAAATTTACCAGGCAAGCTGTAATTTGAAATCCTCAACGCCACAGGAAAAAAAGGAAGACCATAGAACACATCACGCTGAGGATCGGAGTTGGACTCAGAACGAATAATACTTGGGAACGACTATCAAGAACAACAAAGGACAGAATTAGTTAGAGAATACTGGTCCGCAGCCTGTTATTCACGAGGGGGTAACATGCTCTATTGAATCTTTTATTATTTATCTAAGTTTGATGGGTTTCCTATGAGTTAAATGATCGAAGTCTGGTTCAACTACAATAATTGATAGTCTTCAACCAGGTAAAATTCAAGGGTGAAAATAATCATAGTTCTGTGGCTAGTTAACGTCACACCTATAAATATAACAATTCACATTGTGGAGGGAAAATTCGTTCATATGATGTTGTGCCTACTTTAAATATATCTAGCCTCAGCAACTTGATTGTTAGTGGTTTAGTGCCTTCAGCGCAATAAAACTTGTTGTTCAGTTTTCCGTCGGATGATAAAAATGTATTTTATTTCAACAAACATGAATGATTTCTTAGTTTACTACTTTTAACACAAATAGTTTAATATCATGCTCGCTTACTCAATATGATGATTCTCTGTATAACAAACGCACCAAAAGATGTGTTTTAGGAGATAAAATCACAACCTCATGACTAGATATAGAAAAAACACCAAAAACGGAAAATGAGCAGACCTACCCAATAGTTCTTTTCTGTTTGTCGGTAGTGAAACCAAAACTGATTTCATTTACAACCCTTATTTCCCTTCTTTTGCTAGAGGTACGTAAATTTTGTTGGTATTTAGCAAATTAATCGCATTTAACCTTTGTATGTTAAAATAGCTGACATAAATGATGAATCAACCTTATTTCCTTTTTCTAACAATCGTAAACGAAATTTATTGTCGTCTACAGTAGACAAGCTAATACGTTTGTTCAGTAAATTTATACTGATTAAAATCACGTTACACGTAAGTTCAGTGTTGTAACTAACTAACTGGCACATTTCTCACTAACTAAACCGTAATAACACATTAGTTGCACCAGAATCATTTGGAATTGTATTCTATCTTCATCAAATACAATGTTTAATTTCATGCCATTCCAAGCCTGAGGATATCTTGATTATCGATTAACTAAAACTACAGTTTGTGCTCCGACAAATACCCTCGAACTCGCTCACTCATTAATAATATGTGTACAGGGAATTAATAAACATAATTCAACACTATAATACATCCTTAAAAAAATATTAGATGACAAAACAGCAATAAAACTACAACGATATGGCGATTCGAACTATGTTTTTAGTAGGTATTGGATAGGTTCATTTTGACTGGCTTACTCAGTTTGTAGAATATTTCAAGCCTCTGTAACGACTTACTAGTTTGAACGTTTAAAAGTTATTTTTCATTTGCACCATAATTATGATACAATTCTGATTTTAGGCTTCTGAATTGTTTATTCCCAAAAATCTAATTTAAGATAGTTATTAAATTTCCTGTTGAAAATGCCTGATTTAATTTTATTTTCGCGAAGGATAACCAAATTATTCTCCGATTCATCTACCAATCAAATTAAATTATTCCTCATGATTACTTCTCCATCAATTTTATTACAAATAAGATGAGATCCGTTCTGTTACCCAAAGCTCCTCAAAATCTACCACAACATACACCAATGAAATAGTCAGCCATTTTTATGAAGTCTGAAAGAGTACTAGCTAGTCAGTCAAATAAAACCCTGCGTAGGGAGACTGTTTGGGGAAATTTTAAGTATTTATGAAAATCTTGGAATATTAAATTTATTGCTGAAACGCAAAGCACTATCCGAAGTATTATTTCACTTGGCATGTAGCAATTAATTGAAGGCAATTTCGAAATATGAGCTTTATGGTGGATAAAGCTTAAAAAGGCCACTATGCGTAAAAATGATTTGGGGAAGACTGGGAGGTTCTTGAAGCGTGGTTCATATACCATGGAAGTTCATCCATTCATATACTCCACTCATCGAATTACCCAAGCAGTCTTTGAAGCCGAGATCTAAATTTCCCAAATAACAGTTTTCTTCAGTAAACATGTCTACTTGGTGCCCACAAATTGTTCTGTTTGAAGATGATCAATAATTTATTGGTGAATAGGCCAAAAATTAAATGTTAAACGCTCAGAAGAAAAGTTGAACTCTGAAAATGTCATGAAATATTTAGTTATATAAATGTATATACATGTAATTATTTGGTGAAGCTTCATGTTCCCTGCTACACCTACCCTGATTGAGCTACTGAAGGATTGGAGACGCGATAAATTGGGGAAAAACCCTGACTATATATTTTTGACTGTTTATTCATATTCATTATAGTGACCCGCATAGTTTTGCCAGGGCTGCACCCTCTGACGGAAAAATAAAACCATGTCCGATTGCCATTAACATATGCAGTTCCAGAGCAGTCTGGTCTAATCCATATCCTGAATTCGTAATCGGCTCGAACTTCTGCTATTGCATGGTTTCCATTAATGTTACTGTTAAATTTATTAATCCCTTTTTGTATTAGTTGTTGTTGTTTCAAGTCCAATTGGAGTGCTAGTGATGATGGTTCATCCACATATCGTGAAACTTTTTCAACACGAGCTAGATTGCCCGAGTCGAAATTGGATGAAAAAAGTATGCCGCCAATGCGACATTCCATCACTCGAAAGAAGCGGCATTAACACTAATCAAGAGGGGCACTTGTCGTTGAAAGCTATGGAAACTGTGACCTTAAATATTCAATATATTCAAAGCGGACAGTTTACATATTCAATATCTACCTCACGAGTAAGTATGAACCAGATGATTTCTTTGCTCTCAATTCCTGTTTTTTCGATATGGTTAAAGGTGTTTGATAGTGCCCAATGGATGGTGGTATAGCCACATGACTGCAGTAATTCTAGTCAGCTGGAAGTTGATATAAGTTTGTATGTCCCTTGATTTCAATGAATACGTTTGTTTCAGGGTGGTAGAATTCCCGGAAACCAGCAGCTACCACGCCACCAGACCGGAGATCAGTCAGTTGCAATAAGGAGAACAATAAGGAGAAAATTCTGATTCTAATAAGAGTAAGATTTCAGGACTAAATAAATGATGGATAAGTTAATTTAATAATTGGTGGTTCAGATTTTGAGAGAGCACCAAAGTGTAAGCAAGGGAGAGAAAACAGAGATATTAGGCGAGAAAGATTAGGTTAGTGATCTGAAAAGATAGCAATAATGATGACTAGCAAGTCTTAAGACATGCATCTTGTATAGCTGATCCACGAGGGAGATGATAATCTGTATGTGAGTACATGATTATTAAGTCTCTTCTTAAAGATGTCCACTGAGGGGGCTGTAGTCACCTCGGTTAAGAGTGCATTCCAAGTTGCAACGACCCTAAATGAGAAAACGTGTGTACGAACCTGAGCGTTCGCTCTCTGATGCGCAATTTTTCGAGGATCGCATGGAGGGGAGTGGTGATGATGCATCAGTAAGATACTCACACTCGGATGGTTTGGCATGCTTTATATGTTGTACGTCATTATCAGATCACCTCTAATTCTATCGTAACTCAGAGATAATAATCTCAAGTGCTGAAGTTTATTTTCGTAAGTTTTATTCTTCAACCCTATCACCCATTTCGTTGCTCGTCTCTGCAACCGATCGAAGTGATTTATGTCTCTTTTAAGGGGAGGCGGTGCGACTACGTTGTCAACCTCAACGTGTGGGCGTGCATATGCATTAAAGAACGTTAAGAATAATTCAGAGGTGATAATACCATGAAGTGAAGAGTTGAATTCGATCTGACTGCCTCCCCTACATATTTCGAGCGGGCGTGGGGGCCTTCATTGGTTATTTACCCGAAATAGCGCTCTGAGGAGACATTAGTGAGCGGACTTCCATTGAGGGTGTAAATAATTAGCGTCATGTGGGTCAAAGTGTACATGACGTGGAATTTTGGCTGGTTTCGTTTTAAACCTTTTTTCGCTGCCCATTCCTCAATGGATGCAAGGTCTTTTTGAAGCTCAGTCGAATCCTCTTCGCTCCTGACGGACCTCCAGATCTTTGCATCATCTGCGCAGATCAATGCCGGCGAGCTAAATGTGTCTAACAGGTTGTTAGTGAATATCAGGGAGAAAATTGGACCAACGATAGTCCCTTGCGAAACTCACGATTTTGAGACTCGCCAACTCGCGTGTCCTTTATTTGCCTTGATACGAAACATTCTATCCTCAAAGCGGTTTCTGAGCCAGGATAGGAGTTGGTCACGGAAGCCCATTTCTACCAACTTCGCGACTAGCCGTGCATAAGGTACTGTAACTAAGTCTTTTGTGAAGTCAAGAGATTTTATGTGCACCGGTATTTTTCGGTTTCAGTAGGATGTCCAACTGTTCTATGATATGAGAAGGTTAGATGCGCACGACCTGCCATTCCGAAACCCGCGTTGAGCTTGATGGAGTATTTTGTTCTTATCCATGTTCGTTCACCAGCCCTCCCATTAGCCTTCGATAGTACTGGTAGTAATGAGACTGGTCTGTAACAGGCTGGGTCCTTCCTATCACCTGCTTTGAAGATTGGAGACAGTAGCTTCTTTCCATCCCACTGAGAGTTGATGTGACTCTAGTGAATGCCTGAACAGGTCACAAATCAGTAAACTGAGAGCTTCTGCACATTGTTTCAAGACTATGGGGCGAATATTGTGACAACCTGGTGACTTTTGTTGACGTAAGGATTTTAGTTTCCTTAAGAGTAATATGGATATTCCCTAAGCTGTTAGCTGACACCAGGACTGCGCAGTACTCTAAACATGTGGATGCCTGGTTCAACTGGTCGATGAAGTTTGTGTTAAAGATCTTAGCAGTATTTAGGTTGCCAAGATCTTCGCCTTTTGGACATTCAACGGAATACACACCCCGATTCATAGGTTTTCTTTTTATCATAAACCCAAGCAGAAGCCTAGCTTCGCCTGCATTTGGACAGCTGACTTCATCTGAAAGCGTCTCCTATCACTTAGAAATCTGTCATTGCATCTGTTTCTCAAAGCCAAGCAATAAATATGATAGGAATGCTTCAAAGAGACATTCCGCTTGTACCGGGCTCCCCATTTCGCCTGCAGCAAGCGTTCAGTACCACACCTTACACATGTTCTTCCGTTTCCAGATGTGTGGTGTACCTGAGGTATATTTCTTAGGACAGCATTCTGGATGGTGTCTCTCACTGTTTACCAGTGATCATTTACTGTCAGATTCCGCCATTCCCATGGCTACGGGATATGCATAAGACTCTCCGTCATGCGCGTGTATTTCGCACTAGTGTAGCAAAGATAGGGCTCGTTGTCGTTCCGCCTGAATGTTTCCTTTATCACCATGTGAAACAAAACTGTGCCATGGTCACTACTTCCTATTGATGTGTGGACGTGAACATCCTCGACCAGCAGCTGATCGTTTGTTAACAAATAATCCATGTTTTATGACCTCCCCCGCCCCCATTTAGTGGGACTGCATTCATGCTCAGTAAGCCCAGAGCTTCTAATGGCTGCGCCAAGTCGTCTTTGGAAGCAACCAGTGAGGGTTGTACTTTTATTGCTGAGAAATCTCCCGTTAAGAGTATTTGGTCAAACCGAAGCAGTGGCAGTTGCAGTACTGCCTCAGTCAGCCTAATCTTCTGTTCCTTAGTACCTCAAAGGGACGGTAAATCCCTTCAATCAAGTAATTCGTGCCATCTGTGTGGAAACAACACTAACAAGAATCTTTCACATCCGTTAGTTGGGTGTTGTATAGCCGCTCGGCTTTTAGTCCCAAATCATAACTCATTCATCAACTATCCAACTCGATTTCATGAACTTGGGCTTGATCCACTATGGAAAAGAAGGTTTAAGTCCAATCTAACCCTTTGCTTTAAGCTCCTTCACAAGCTCACATACTACTCTTGTAGTGTAGTCCTTATCCAAGGCCCTTGTATACATAACCTTCGAGATAAAGTATCTACGGTCAAACTCGGGAAGTATAAATCCATATCGCTTCGGAATAGTGTCAGGCATTGCAATCTCAATTCGACGTCTGCAACGTCTGGGAATAGCCTTGTTGCAGTTAGGAATATGGTCTTCAGATCCATCTGAGAGCATATATTCCTGATTTCCAACAGCTTATCCCTTAGTACTCTAAAGCTAATACAGAGTCACTTGGTGGTTTGTCAAATCACCTGGTGCACTTCTGCAACAACAACATCCGTTGTCGAATATTCAAACAAGTTGCTTAGATCGATTTAGTCAGTTTTGTAGGGACTGGCCTCTGCAGCTCTTTTGCCTGTGCAGTGCGTTCAGTCGACGAGACCATTACCTTCGTGTCTTGGGCCGAGGGTAGTTGATCGAAGCCAACTTCCAGTCCAGTGCATTTCTTTCGGCCCCCCTGCTGTTGTGTGAAAATCTTTTGCTTTTGCAACACCTAACCTGGCCAGAGAGGTTGTGCTCTGAGTCATCCGAAGCCTGAATGGACTCTGTTAGGTCTTTTCGATTCCTTAAGTGCTCAGTCGTCAGAAGTGGTGACTAAACCATCGTGAGAACTGACAGACAAGGAATCAAGGAAATGCTAGCTCCCGAGTTGGTGTAAAGGCACATACCTCATGATAGACATTGCCACTATTGCACGTCATGTGAGTGAGCTTCGTCCAGATTATCACCAACCGATTCGAGCAATTCATGAACTGCCATACTGGTTTGCTCCTGGGTGTCCCGCGACTTCCCGGCTGCTCCTCATATTGAATACGGTTTGTATAGATTGCAAATAGATACGGCATCAGATGCCACATTTTACTCACGTAAAATATGGATCAAAGTGGTTAGCAATAGCATGCAGCCAACGACACAAAAGCCTCGTTCCGAATGTAGTAATTACCTTCGCCTGTTAGGACAACTGGAATGTAAAGTTACCTTCCCAGACTCGTCATTTACTGGGGTATGTTATATCATATCAGCTAGTCTAAATTTACTTGGTTTAGATTGGTTTGATCCTCTAAAATTGGCTGACGTCCCGATAAATTCCACATATCACCAGATATCACGACCACATGACTCCGAAGCCTATACGAGGAATCTAATGACGCAGCTTTAAACAATCTTCCAACCTGGATTAGGTCGATGTACTTCCATGAAAGCAACACTTCGGTTGAAACCTGGGGCTAAGCCTGCTTTCTGTCTAAAAAGACTCGTGCGTCATACAACATTACCAACAGTAGATGAATTGGATCGCCTTCAACAACAAAGAGCTATTACACTTGTTTCTTATTCTGCTTGTACAGCATCTATAGTTGTTATCAAGAAAGCCAACGGCACGATACGTATGTGTGCTGACTTTTCTACAGGTCTCAGTGCAGTTCTAAAACAGCATCATTATCCTCTGCCAGTCCCCACAGATCTGTTTACTATGCTGAGTGGGGAAAGTTTTTCGCAAAGCTGGATCTAGCTAGTGCTTATTTGTAGGTGGGAGTTAATGAAGCATCGATAGAGCTGTTTGCTGTCATCTTAGTTTCATTTCAGTATAATCGTCTGTATTTTGGAGTCGAAAAACGCCCCATCTATATTCCAGCAACTAATGGACACCACCCTAGCAGGTATTTCGAGGGTAAGATGTACCGCCAGATAGAGAAAGAGGCTTTTGCCCTCGTGTTTGTTATTCGCCATTTTCACAACTTGGTTCTTCTGAATTTCCTCTATTCATTCGACTAACTTCCC